CCGAACGGAAAGAATTCCGTTCTGGTGAACTGGTCTGACGTCCTACATGGATCACGACTAGCAACAGTGTTAACAGGCTAATCGCATATGACTTTCTCCGTTTTGTTCGACAAAATTACGATATAACGCACGGTATACCGCATCATTCAAGGGAGCTCGAGCATATGCAACCTCAATAGCCTGCTGCTCAACTTAACGACGGTGCAGCCCTAACAATAATGAAGCACAGTTCTTACTTCTGGCTGCCCTTAAAAGCACCATCTGGAAATCACGCATGTATAAAGGCATATCGAGCACAACAATGAGTATACTTAACTTGACTGTCAGCAGGGTCCTCGAGGAAATGTTGTTATGATGTGGCCATGCACCCACATCGGTAAAATTAAAATTTTCTCAGGATAAGACAAAGCAAGACAAGAATATTCCCAAGTAGGGCAGCATGGTGGCTCGCAGCAGAGTCTGTCTGTGTAGCATTGTGAGCTGCACTTTACATATATTGGCAGTCCCCATTCCAAGTGACCATGTCAGTGAAATCAAGCCATGTTTACACTGGTCAGATTTGAAACATGTCAGGCAGACATGGTGTTGCTCAACACGCCATACTGCTTCGATATGCCATGACTTGTCACAATATCAGCCCTGTCACATGGACATCAATGCATGTAATGGACAGTTTCAAACTGCCCCATGACATGGGTGTAGCACATACATACTGTCTTCATGACCTATACACAGCCAGCATACAGTTACATAACGCAATGGCACCGCCCTGGCATGACACAAATTGCAATGTCCCCCCCCCTCCCCGAAACGCCACGGCCAGGATGGCTGGCACACGCAGAGACCGCAGCAGTGACTTCGGCTATTGGCCTCACAATGTGCTGAGCCATCACAACACCGGTAGAAGGCACGACCAGACACCAGACACTGGGCACCAGCCACGACAGCGGCACGGCGCCGACATGACCCCCGACATGACCCCGGCGAGGCGTCCACATGGACCAGTATGCCACCAGTGCAGACCCCAACATGGGCCTGGCACGCCTCTGAAAGATTCTGAGACATCAAGATCCCAGTGCTGGCATAAATTACAAGGTGGCCTGGGGCACCCACCAGACTAGGCCAAACCAGCCTGTGCCAACTGGACTGAACCTAGCCTTCCCTATCCTAACCCTGCCTGGCCCAGTTAACCTAAACCTACCTACATCCATACACCTACTTCTAATTTAAAAGCTTTGTCTTTTGGTAACTTTCAATCAGTGGCTTTTACATTTGTCTGATCATGATAATCTTACTTCTGAAATAAGATCATACATTTTTGTCTTTCATTATCAATGTCAGTGTGTGCTTTAAAATAACCATGTTATTTTGTTGATGTACTGGGAGATACAAGTCAAGCATTAATGAGCAAACATTGATATGCACCATGAGGAACCTTAACACTGAATATTTTGAGACAGTGCTCATGGTCACTTCACTACCTACTACATGACGGCCCAATTATTCATTGGTAATGTTCCTACATGGGGTTGCTACTTATGAATTTTCAAGGGCTTTACAGGCAACTGCACCATACACACAACATACAGGCATACTGCACCATACAGGCAACTGCACTCTAAGGCACAAGAGCTGTTAAGACATGCATACCTGTGACATCATAGGTTGCAACTTGTAAACAACATTTGGCAATGGGGAAGAGCACTGGTTAGGGGGGTCCGCGATCAAGGAACACTGGGCTGGCAAGATCATGACTAAAACCTCTCTCTGAACATGAAATGACATGGGCCACTCACATTCTGTCCTACAAGTTGTGCCTATCTCCTCAGACTCTTATGCATTTCTTATATCACTGACAGCCACAGTTACTGGACTTTTAGATCAAACATATGGAGGGTATATAGTAATAGGGATTCACCTTGTGATACTGTACTGGTTCTCACACCAACAGTGATGTTCACAGTACAATAAAGCAATGAAACATAAAGCTGGCCATGTCAGCTGTTTCAGATACATGGCCTCATTATGCTCAATCCCTAGGTAAAGGAAATGATAAATAAGCTTGGGTTAAATTCATACAAATATGAGGAAATTGCTGGCCTTATTAGGTTGGCAACATCATCTGATATCATAATTTCTGCACAACAAAGATGCTCTACAAAAAAAATTGTTGTTATTGTGGTGTTAAAGGCAATGTGCATACTGCCGCCAAAGCACCCTGTGTGGATGTATGGCATCAGCACATATTCTTTTGCCAGAATTATTATGGAAGGGTCAGGGAAAATAAGGCACCTTACATTGAGCACCACAGTGAACAGATCCATGACCTATGCTCGGGATAGGGTGTGACACAAATACCTGAACTGGTTTCAACCCACATGTGCTCTTGTCATATCACATGTGGGCCAGTTAGCATCAATCACAACTAAGAATACGTACCATATGCGTAGATCCCACGGAGAAGATCCTCACGGAGGTTCATATTATCAAACGTAGGTACAACTTCCACATCTTCACTGGTTTCGAATTCGACGTTGGATAGGTCTTCCAGGTCTTGATTCCTTCGCCCTACTCGCTCCGCAGCCATGGTCTCTTAGATACCGTACAAGCTTTTGAAACTTTCAAAAATGATCCGTTGCATCTATTCAAGCACAAAATGAAGACTTGCAGACGTACACAACAAACTCACGTACGCGAAACCGCTAGCACAACCCCTGCCATCACCTAACCCCGCGGTACGCTCGCGGTCCGTCAATCCAAGGTCGTGCAATGGGGTACGATCATCTGGCGATTTTGCTGCCCCATCTGCTCAACGTTAGCATGACGTCACTGGAGCCTTCCCTTCAGCAGGCGCTGCGCGTGATCCCGCGCAGTTCTCCGATGAATCATAGCTCACCTGCTGGTTTTAACCACCTTGGCTATCACATGTAAGTCTGGGAGTGAGACGCTATTAAGTTGTTGTAAGATACCGACGTTATCGATCAAGGCTATTTTGTTCAAGTCAAGTCCCGTCCCGGCCAGCATGTCCCACTGGTACCCATGCGGGTCCGAGATGGGCAGTCATATGGGGCCCATCAGGGCTGCCCACTTTGATCTCATGTGGGTTTGTCATGGACTACCACCTGGGTCCCGCATGGACAGCCCACCTTGGGTCCATATGAGGTCAAACTGGGACCACATGGGGCCTACTTGGGCTGCCTAGTTAAGGCCCATTTTGGTACCATGTAGGCATGTCATGGGAAGCTAACTGGGTCCCACATGGGCATCCATCTGGCAACCACGTGGCCTAATTACGACCCACATGAGGCCAACCTGGGCTACCCAGTTGGGACCTACATGGGCATGTTCAGCTGGGGCCCACATGGATATGTCTAGCTGGAGCCCATATAACCAGCCCAGGTGGGATCCATATAACAAGTCCAGATAGGACATTTTTAACTACCCAAGATTGGCCCCATTTATGCTTTATAGATGTGCTCTTTCAAATTTCATGTGGTTGACGGACGCCCGTGATTCTAAACAAGCTGCTTCATATCATCCGTAATATTCCAGGTCAAGGGTTATGCACCATGTATTTGTCCAAAATTTCCTCATGAACAGCAGCGCCCCGCAAAACATCCAGTTTTCTGCTATCATTCCCGATATGATAACTTTAGTACGGTCTTCGCTCGACTATCTTACCCGTGTGTGACCACCTCGTACGCCCATGGGATATCATTCCGGTCAGTTCGATCCGAAACAGACACAGACGAGGCCATGGTTTTCAAGGGTATATTGTAGAACCGGTACAGACAAAGGACGAGAGAGGCAGGATCAGTTCATACAACAGAGAACAGTACAAGAACAGTAACACAAGCCATCTTGGGCACACCCCGACCGGACCTAGGTTCGGCCGGACCGCACTTACTTCGTCCGAGTAGCCAGCTGCGTCAAAGCAGTGTTCATTTCAACGTGGCGCTCTGCCCTGCTTTCCATGACGCGCGTTTTTATGAGCTCTACGCCCGGCGACGGCGTAAAAACATCGGGGTATGTGGCGTGGCGGTGAAGCCTCGCACGAGAGCCGGAGGCGCCGGCCGGCCGTGGCGTCCGGGAGGCGCGGCGCCGAGTCTCGGTCAGCCGGTCGGCTGCTGGGAGAAAGTGGATGCGCGCGGGAGGGACTAAACGGCCAACCAAATCTGTCGACAGTCCATGCTCCGAGAGTATAGCACCGATTGACATGAGACCTTAGCCATTCGATGC